CCCCCCGTCCCGACCCTCCCCACCCCAAGACAGACACAGTTGCACAAGCACCCATGTTACTAGTTTTGCCTGTCAGCAGCCAGAGGTGCAGGGCCCCAGAACCTCCCTGAACCTAATCTCCTCAACAGCTGGCAGGCTTCATGGCCGCAACAGGGGCTACCATCCCTGCAGCTTTCATCCTGCTGCACCTTAACACACAAAGTGTCACCCATGTCATGAGTTTTGCTTGTCCACAGCTTGATGTGCAGTTTCCCCCAAATCCCTGCACTTATCTTCTTGAAACTTGGCAGGCTTCATGGCTGTGGCCACCACCACTGCAGTTTTCAGCTCGCTGCGCCTTAACACGCACAGGGTCACCTATGTCACGAGTTTTGCCTGTCAGCAGCTTGAGGTGCAGCTCCCCCAAGCCCCTGCACTGATCTTCTTGAAACTTGGCAGAGTTTGTGGCCGTAGCATAGGCTACCACCCCTGCAGTTTTCACCTCCCTATGTTGTAACACCTAGACGTGACATGAGTTTTGCTTTCAAGAATTTGGGGTGCAGTTCCCCCCAAACGCCTGCACTGATCTTCTTGAAACCTGGCACGCGTCATGCTCTCAGCAGAGGCTACAACCCTGCAGATTTCATCCAATCAGACAAAAAACAACAAAGTTATAGCTATTTAATTGATTCCCCATTATACCCTATAGCTGGATCTCCAAAGTGGCTCCAAAGCTTTTCCAAAGCGCTTCGGAAGCTCCAAACCACTTCAGAAAGCCTAACAAAGCCAGCGCTTTGATCCAGATATGCTGCTTTGGAAGCCGAAGCATCCAAAGGTTCTCCGGATCTGAAGCATGGTCTGAAGCCTCGCACAGCCCTAGTATTCATGCTTCACATGTGCAAAGTGTTTTGCTTCAAGTACTATAACAGTCCTGAGAATCTTAGACCCCTACTGAGAGGTCACATAGGAAATTAATGACAGGTGGCATGGTTTTGTGTGGTGCTGGATATCTTCAAGCTTAGGTTAGATATTAGGAAAATTTTTCTCATTACAAGGGTAGTAAAACACTGGAACAAGTAACCCAGACAGGTGGTGGAATCTCCATCCTTGGAAGTTTTTAAGTCCCGGCTAGACAGAGCTGTGGCTGGGATGGTCTAGTTGAGGACAGTCCTGCTTTGAGCAGCGGGTTTGACTACATGACCTCCTGAGGTCCCTTCCAACCCTAATTTTCTATGATTCTATGATTCAGTACCCATTGATATGGGCACTAAGCACCCAGGATGGAATGGAAGCTAGATATAGGAATAGCATACAAAACTGTCAGTTTCCATGTCACAACCAGCAGACAATATTCTTTCCCTGCTCCTGGACAGGACATATTGTACTTTCATAGTTGAGTCACATGCTATATGAAATTAAGCGTATTAGATGTTGGCATTTTATAAAGGAAGTTTCAGAAACAAAGTGAGGACAGGACTATGCCTTTCTGAATATCTTATCCTTGGTGTTCATGATGTACCAGGTGACTTGTGGTGAAAATATCCCTATGTCTATATCTACGGCAAAATCAAATCCCAAGTGCTCTCAGTGCTATTTCTATAATAATTCTAAAGTTCTATATTGAAATAAAGGTTAGTACTGACATGACATTGTTAACTGTGGTAGCAGGAAAATCAGTGACCCAAAGCAGTTCCTTCTACTCCCATGTTCCCATGTATCTATAGAAACACATGATGTTAAGAAAAGTCTTTTTCTTGTCTTACAGCTGCAATGCATATGTCTTGGTACCACCAAATGAAACTAGAAGAAATAAGTTACAGAGAAGTAAGTGCATTATCTACTGAACTCCCTTATATTTTTATTTATTTATTTCACAAAATTCAGCATTTTTCTGGGGGGCTTCATGGCCTTTCCAGTCTTTATACCTCCCTTACATTACTTTCAGATGGGCAGCTATCATGATATACCTACCTGCCACAGTATAAAAGCCACTCTCCATCAACATGCAGGCTTTTCTTAGAACTAATTTTGCATTTGACCAAAAAAATACAGAAACATCATTCAACTATTGAATGATGTTCTTTTGGTAAAAGTAATGCGGTGACTGTTCAAATTAAATTCCATAACATACCTTTGGTTGATGATCCTCTTCAGGTTCATCTCTCCCACATGGATGTCTTGCATCTAGATTGGAGGATTCAATTTTGAACCTTGTTTAGCCATAATGGGTTAATTTTTTCTCAGATGTCACCCTAAACCTCATGTACATAATGCATGTTTATATGGTTAAAATGTTCTCTTAGAAAAGTTCATACCTGTTCAAATATGGCTGTAGTGCTTCCAGAAGGTGTATATTTGCATACACAATGTATATCCACTTAGAAAATGTGTACAGCAAATTCTTACCAGTATCTTCTCCATTACTGTTTAAGATTCTTTCAGTGCACTGACTGATTTTGAGCAACACAGAACATCCACAACTTCCATGGAGCTTCTGTAGGAGCTGTAGGCACTTGCTGCCTTACCAAATCAAGTCTACCAGTTTTAGCAAGGGTATCTTATTCTTTATCAGCTGAAATGCACCAACCACTTAAAGAACCGTGGTTGCCTTTTTACTGAAAGTTTTGCATGAAGAAAATCTCAGATGAATTAGAAGCTAGAACTTCTGCACAGAATCCAGCAATGAAAAACTGCTTACACAGTCTTTAATAATAAGCTTAGCAACACAAGTAATTGCAATAAAACTTCATAAACAAATGTAACTGAAGAGTGATGTTGGAGTATACAGGAATACATGGAGTAAACATTCTTCTAGATGGCAACATGGGGTATCCTTGGATTAGAAAAGTTTGTGTTGTTTGGCTTCAACTAAAAGACTTAATAGAAGTGACTAAACACAATAATACATATAAAATATGCACAGGAAGAAATAAAAGTACACTAAGAAGTTTTATTTAACAGCAGTGAAAACAAAAGAGTAACTATGCACTGTAATTCCACACTGATAATCTTCATATTAGCCCAGAACTACCATAGCTGCATACTATAGATTAGCAGTGTGCAAGTTTGAAATACATTTAAACTTGGAATATATTTAAAGTTTAATTTCATGGCTTTTAAAAGACTCTTAAGAGTTAGTGGATGATCATGGGTTTGGGCTAAGGTGTTTAAATTCCCTTCCTTCAATTTTGTAGGGTTGTATGAGGGGTTGTGGGTATGGGGGTCTGCATGTATGGCAGTGTGAGGGGCATGTGGGTGCATGTGTATGGTGGGGTGGTAAGTGGGACTCACCCTATGAATACACACACACACTCACACTCTCTCTCTCTCCATCCCTCACTGCACACACACACACAGAGTCTCTTCCTCCCTCATTGCTCTCTCTGTCTCTCTGTCCCCTTTCCTCATTGCAGAGACACATGTATGCACACACACATGCACGCACACATGCACACACACCCATACCCTCCCACTCTTGGCCTTGGGGTACCCATGTGGTCCCTATGCTCTCACAGTCTGGAGATGCAGCTGGGGGCCACATGTTGCTGGAGTGCCCAGCTGGCATGCAGGGAAGCAATGAAAGCTGTGGCAGGCACAAACTTCCAGTTGTAGGGGGGTGAGTATGGGAGGGGCCTGGGGGTGGGGTGGAGCAGGGCCCCAGGCTCGGCTTGCTGATGAGTCCTGCCAGCTTCCCCTGGGTCCTACTGCTCTTGGATCCTGTTATCTTTGACAGACAGCCAGGAGCAGATAAATATAAATTTTCTAAATTTTTTGGGACCCCTTGGGCCAGATAGAATGGCCTGGTGGGCCAGTTATGGCTCGTGGGCCATATTTTGCCCACCCCTGTCTTAGAGGAACCTAAATACTGTGCTAAATTGTGCTCATGTTACCGTAGCTTGTATAAGCTTTACTGCAAAGGGAAATGACCAAGGGTGCAGACCAAAGCAACAATCTTTTTCCATGATCTGGCCACAGAAATAAGTTTGTAACTGTGACCAAGTACAAGTGCATGACTGCAAACAGCTTTAAAATGGCCAATAGGGTGAAAATCTGAACTCTCATTGCATGAAGTATCAGATAAAGATATTTCAAAATGCAGCATCCTCTGTAACTTGCATCTCTAGAGCTCCCAACTTGTCAATGTTTTCAGAATCAGAGGGGAAAAAGGGAGGGGAGGGAGTTCAGTTTGGGGTTTTTCATCACCTTCTGGAGGGTGGGCAGGTATATTGGAGTCTCCTCAAGGTGAGAGGGCTCCAATTCACCCACCCCATCCTTCAGCACTGGCTGGGGAGCCCCAAGAATGAACTCTCTCCTATTCTGAAAAGAGCGAGCACTGGCAGGGAGCCCAGGTGTTGCTATGGGAACCTGGCTGCGGGCTCCCAGCCTGCGGCTAGATTCCCCCTCCCCTCCCTGGAACCAACAGTGAACTTCTGTTTGGTTTGGATTAACAGTGCAACTCAGACCGCTTTGCAGAAATTGTTCTGAGTTACATCTGGGAGCTGCACTTCTGTCCACACCCCAAGTTGCAGAACTGCCACAACACAGATCTCTATTCTCCCGTCTGCTTCTGATTTGTACCCCTTCAGAAAGGTAGTGAAGCAAACTATACACCAGTCTGCCATGCTATGGGGTGTGCATTCACTTTTTATCCATAAAGCTAGCTTCAGTATGGATTTGGTTTCTCATGATACTCCCACAGTCAGTAGCATAACATAGGGTGGGGGGGGAGGGGCGTGGAGGGGGTCAGGGCACCAGCTCAGGCACCAGCTGGGGAGGTGGTGGGCAGCCAGCTGCAGAGGTGGTGGGCAGGGCAGGCAGGGTGGGTAGACCAGTAGCATTAGCATCCAGGGACTTTTTTAGGTCCCTGGAGGAGATTAAGACACTGCTGCCTTCAGCAACTCCTTTCCTCCAGTGTTCAGTGACACTCTCCGCTCGACAAACTAACAAACTTTGCTAGTTATGCCTCTGCCCACCACTTATGAACTAAGCAGAACAGGAAGAAATATGAATGATCAATGAAGGGTGGCATGTGACTTGTGTGTTCTTTGCATGTATTTATGTCCAGAGTAAGTAAATTTCCTATTTAAACTTACCTTTGGATAGTGATGCTAGTCAGTGCATCATAACTGCCCATTTAAACCATTTTAATGCGGTTTGAACTTGAAGACTTTCATCAAAAAAAGCTGCTCAGTAGTTGATATCTGTTTTGGACTGGTTAACTTCTGGTCAAACCATTAGTGTATGTTAACCATGTTTCTGCCCTGGGTATTAAATGTTTTACACTTTTTAGAAGTATCCTACATTCTGTAGGCAAGGCCCACTATTTCTTTCTCTTTTTCAGTTGCTAAGAAAGAACTGGAAGATCTGGAGAGGTGGAAGGAACAGCACAGGTCAGGACCAATTAATTTGACACCACAGAGATTGGGTAAGACTACAGATATGAACTAAAGTGGTGGATTACAAAAATAAACAAGAATTATCTTGTGCTCTGCTTTTTAAGATGTGCTGTAGGTTAATATCACTAAAGAGATATTATATATACTTAGTGGGTTAACAAGCTGGACTATACAGAGGTTCATCAAGTACAAAGGTTTAATTTTCTCATTTGTAAAATCTCTTCTGAGCCTTGCAGGAACTCTTATTTTCAAAAAATACAAATGAAAAGCAACTGTGTTTATGTCTTATGACTTCCAAATGCCAGATTCTGTCAGCTTGTCCTTGAGGCAGGAATATGAAACAAGCTTATTTGTAAAAAAAACTAACTTATTTGGCTTTAAAAATATTTGAGGAAGCCATTTGTTTTTGGTTCTTGGTGAGTCACATGAGGGAAGCCTATGTTTAAAAGAATGTTAAAGGTGTCAAAGAATGTTAAAGGTGACTCCTGGTATAGAGATTATAGTATGTGAGGAGGTTGACCATATGAAGTGCCATACTGGGTCACACCAACAGTCCTTCTAGCTCACTATCCTGTCTCTAACAGTGGAGGAAGTGGATAAGCAGTGATCAACAACCAGTGGATCTTGATAGAACAGTGGTCACCAACCAGTGGATCTTGATCCACTGGTAGATCTCGGAGTCTCTTGTGGTAGATCTTGGAGCCTCTTGGAGTTGATTTGAAGCTGGGTGGGGGGCTGAGTTCCCACATGCATGCATGTGTGCACCCCAGCCCAGCAGGTCAGTCTGTGGGGAAGGGAAGGGGAGGGGGCTAGATCAAGGCCCCCACGGTGAGGGACAGTGCCACAGAGGCAGGAACAGGCATAAGTTGAGTGGGGCCCCGGCCTGGTGGGACTTACTTGCTTGGGAGGTATGCCCTCAAATACTTTTTTCTCCCTCTGCCTTGATCTGTGCCCCCTCCTTTCCTCCCCACAGACTTAATTTCTGGGTGGGGTGGGGGGAGGGGGAGAAGTGGTGGCAGCGCATAATAGATCTTGGGTTGCTTTAAATGCCAAAGGTGATCTCCTACTTAAAATGGTTAGAGACCACTGCCATAGAGGAAGAGTACTAAACCAGATCTCTCTGGAGTGATCTATCTCTTATTCAATACCCTCCCTAGCATCCACCATTATTGGTTTAGTAATCAGAGGAAACATCTCTAACCATTCTGTTCAATAGCCATGAATAGATTTATCCATTATGAATTTATCCTGTCCCTTTTTGAACTGTCTGTGCTATCTGCCTCTACCACCTCCTGTGGCAATGAATTCCACAAGTTAAATAAGCATTGCATAAATAAGTACGTTAGCATGTTAGTTTTCAACCTGTCTCCTATTAATTTTAGTGGGTGGCCCCTAGTTCAAGTATTATGAGATTTGGTGAACAACAGTTTCCTGTTCACTTGGTTCACACTCTTCATGACTCTGTCATTCTAGACCTCCCCCATGAGCCTTCTCCTTGACAAACTAAAGAGTTGTAACCTTTTTAGACTCCTGGAATGGCAATTGCTCCATGCCTCTGATCATTTTGGTTGCTCTTTTTTAATTCTTTCACAACCTAACCTTCTTTATGGAATATTTTTACAACACTCGCCTAAATGGAAAATATCACATGAAACTGGAATAGAATCTTTCAGAATTGGAAAACTGGATAAAAATAAAATAGAGGGGTGAGGAAGGGAATGAACAGTAAAATGGACTGTGGAGTTTGGAAAAAAATACCACTCATCTAATAGCTAACTCTAGTAACCCAAGGTTGAATTAATACAAAAGATGAAAGTATGGTGGTAGAAAGGGACATTAGGGAAATACCTATTGTCCTTCTAGCCTGGTCTGGTACTTACCAGCTCGCAATGCCAATGACAGCTGAGGATTAGTGAGAAATACATATTATATTCAACGTCTTAAAAGGCAAAAAACTCTAGCTCTAAATTTACTGAAACTGAAGAGGCTTAAGGGTAGGAGAGAATACAAGCGGTATCATTACTGTGACAACTGTAGGTGCTTGTTGAATGAAAATTCTTTGAATGCATCCTTCTGTGAGAGTGAATTATTTTCAAGAGACCGTACCATATCCAAATCACTGGAGAGTTCTCTAAGCTGAAGTTCTATAACATTTGTGCCTATACTTTGAATAAATATTGTGAGAATTTCAAATCAGCAATATTTGTGTGACTGGCAGAAATCCAATCTTTTCAGGTACTAGGTAATTTCAGGTACCGTAGAGAGATGATAAGAACAAATAATTGAAGTTCCATCCTTACCCTTAGATAATGGAACTCTAAGCAATAAATAGAGCAGGTGTACAAAGAACAAATTGTGCCTGACAAACTCGATTGCTTTTTTGATCAAATTACATAAAGCAAATGCACAAATCATAATATATTTTGACATTAATAAAACATTTTGATATAATGTTCCACAGAATCTTATTTGAAAAATTAATTCAAGCTGGTTTGGGTCTGAGCATTGTGGAGTGGATTGAAAACTGGTTGAAAGGTTGTAAGCAAACTGTAATGATGAACAGTAATATATTGAGATGTGGCTGATGTCCAGTAGAATGTTTGCCTTGGAGATTGACGATACACATGGTTTTATTTAACATAAAGAACTGGGAGCAAGTGTAAATTTGTATATAACACTACAACGCAAGGTGTTAGTGACGTCAAGTGACGTCAAGGAGGGAAGAGGAAAAACATAAGCCCCGCTTAACACTGTTTTACTTAGCGCTATTTCACTATAACACTCATTTAAAATTGATACCTGATTTCACTTACCACTCAGCAAGTTTCGTTATAACACTCGCAGTCGCCATCTTGGGTCATTAAGAACAATTGCGGTCACCATCTTGGGTCGTCAAATACTTTTGGTTTTGCTTAACGCTTGTTTCACTTAATGCTCTGTTTTTCAGTAACCAATTAAGAGCACTAAGCGGGGGTTGCCTGTACAAAAGGCTCAATAGAAGCTAGAAATATGGTTAGAGAATAGCAAAATGTTCAGTGTGAGGAAAAAACTGTTTATGTAGGTCATTCATGTGACAACTACTTTTCACATGCAATAAATATGTTGGCTTGTGTACTTTTGATTCCCTCAAATTCCTATGTATGAAAGTATCGCCATAGACTAAGGCCATTGCTGGCAGGGTTATTAACACTTTTGTCCAAGAGAGTAAGGTGCCAACATTCTTAAATCTGCAATTGTCCAGCCTCTAGTCAAGAAACAGTCTCTTGACATTGACTACCTAGGCAACTACCATCCTGTTTCCAAGCTCCCTTTTTAGAGGAAGGTCTTTGAATGGGTGGTTTTCTGACAGCTCCAGATACATCTGGATGTGACAGGATTCCTGGTCACTTGTCAGGTTGGTTTTCATTCTGAGTAAAGCACAGTCTGAACTTGCGGGCTTGGAGATGAACAAAGGAAGCTGTGCCCAAGATAGTGGTCACCATTGGGCACCATTGAGCAGCCATTGATAGAGTTCACCATTGCCAGGGATACATCAGGATGTAGGCGACAGTCACAATCTAGAAGGTCAGAAGCGGGCAAGATAAGGGAAGCAAGGGTCCCAATTAGTTAGTGGTGCAGGAACAGGTGTGTCAAGAGGGTGAAGACTGTAGGTAGTCAACCTGGATAGATCCACAAGTCAAAGGGCATAAAGAATATGAAGCAGGGATCCAGACCACAGTCACTAGCAGGGAGTATAGAGCAGGCAGCTATACCTGGACTGAACTGGGATGTAGATGATAGCCAAACTAGGTCACAAACTAGGAGATGGGTGTCAAACAAGGGTCTAGACTGGGGTCTTGAGCACAAAGAGTCAAGGACACAGCAAGGCAGTCTGGAACACAAAGGCTCAAGGCTAGAGTCTGGAACAAACAGTCAGTCGGCAGGGACCAGGGTGAAGCCAGGAAGCAGGATCCAGTGCACAGGAAACCAGGAACAAATCAGCAGGACCTAGGACACTTGGAACAAAGAAGCAGGACCTAAAGAAGGTGGGACCTAAGTAGGACCTAAGCAGGACCTAAGGAAACTAGAAACTGGGAAATTAAGAACATTGAATCAGTAGGCCAAGGCTAAACAGAGAGGAACCTGTCCTGTATCTTCCTGTAGCGTCCAAGGCACTGAAAGAGCTACAGTGCATAAACAGGCAGCCACATCCATGCAAGCAAGGAGCCAGCTGGGGACAATTTAGTCTGATTGCTGCTCTGACTCCTGAAAACCATGACAGGCTGATAAAGCTTTTATGTGACTTGGCAAGTGCTCCTTGTCCCTCCTGGGATCCTTCCTGTAGAATTCCCCGTGGCTCCATCTTGTCACCTCTTTTGTTCAATGTGTATATGAATATCCTGGGTGAGAAAATCCAGAGATTTGGAGTGAGGTCTCATCAGTATGCTGATGACACCTAATTATATCACTCTCTTTCGTCTACCCCGGGCCCAACTTTCTTGGTCTTTTCCCAAAGCCTGATTGCAGTTGGCAACTGAAAGTGGGTAAACCAACTGAAACTGAATCCAGACAAGACAGAGGTGGTAGTGCTGGTGGGCACACTGCTTGGCTTGTAGGGAGATGGGGGAGGAGGCATGGGAGCAAGGATGGGGGTTTGGGACATCTATCATTGATAGAATTCAGCCTCCCCTTCTGACTCAAGTTTGCAGCCTTGGTGTGCTCATGGATGTTCTGTTGCACCTATAATTTCAGATGGTGGCAGTGGCTAGGAGTGTCTTTCCTTTGGGACTTGGAACTGGCCATCATCATCAATGCTTTTGTAACCTTGAGTCTAGACTACTGCACTGTGCTCTATTTGGGGCAGCCCTTGATGACCTCTTGGAAGCTGGAGCTGGTGCAGAATGTAGCGGCCCACCTTCATATGGGGATAGGTCTGTAGGAGCACATAACTTCAGTGGTTCAGAGTCTGCAGTGACTCCCAATAGATTTCAGGTGGCTGGTTTTGACTAAAAGGACCTAAACAGCTTGGGCCCTATGGGACCAACCCCGCCCTTGTGCTCCATCAAAATCACTAAGATCTGCTAAGAGCAACCTTCCACTACAGTGGGGACCAACCTTTTTGGCTACTGTACCAATCTCATCCCTTTGCCCTGTTCTTTCTTCATTGCCTTAGCTGAGAAGTACTCCCTGCCGGGGAGGGGTATAATTCCCCCTGCCAGATCTGCTGTGTGCTAAGTAAACAAAGCAGCTGTGCCACATGTGCCATAGGTTTGCTATCCCTGTACTTCTAGTACCATCAGTGCCCCAAGCTTGCTTGACAAAATCACATGGGAGATGTTTCTCATTAGTTACTCCTCAGATTTAGAATTCCCTCCCCTTTGAGACCCCAACACTGGGGCCTGGACCTCACTGGAAGACTTTCCCATTTGAGCAAGCCAAGCTGGGATATTGCTTAAGGAGCTTTTATTTCACACTGTATTCTTTTCTTCTGTCTGTCTTTTATTGTAAGCCACCTTGAGTTTTTGCTGGGAATTGAACGCATTTATATCTCCTTCTAGTTTCAGAGACTTAGGATCTCTACCCATACTAGAGGGGTAATGGTTGTGTTAGTGTTTTACAGGGAACTACTTCTGGAATACTGCATGAAGGCCTGAATACCTCTGTGTAACAGGGTGCGTCTAGACGAGATGCTTACTGTGTAGCAGCTCATTACTACTGCACAGTAGTAACTCATGCCTGGCATGAACAGTGATGTACTGCACAGTAGTAACGAACTACTCCACAGTAAGCATTACCAGGCAACTGTGCCCAGGATGCTACTGTGCAGTAATGTCGGTTACTGCTCAGTCATTTAGTACTTGATTATGCAAGTACTAAATGACTGAGCAGTAACAACTGTGCAGTGGCCATCTCATGTAGACATGCCCATAGAAAAGAAGGAATTCAGAGAAGAGCAACAGATGATTATGGGATTACAATCCATATATACTTAGCGTGTCTAAACAGGAACTAGGGGAGAAAAGTTTGCTTTTCCTAAATGGAGGACTCGATAGGGAAAAGAAGAATTGAGAACAATTGGATTAAATCAGTTATTTTGCTTCTCCCATAGTATGGCAGGAGTAAAGTTCTATTGGGTTCCTTCTGATCTGTGCCCTGTCCTCAAAGCTTTTCAGAGCCTGAGACTGGATATTAGTACTGAAAAGCCCAGACCTCTGGAAACAACTCCTGCTTCTACTGAGCTGTATGAGGGTAGCTTGACTGGACTTTTGATTGCATTTCATAATAGAGATGTTTCTCCTTTGTTAACAAGGAGAGAACTGTTTTGTATTAAATAATTTGCATGCCTTGTTAATGCTCACACAAAGCTAGTGAAAAATCTCAGTGACAAACTTCTTGATAAAATGGATGCTGTTTGACCAAGCTAATATATAACTTTGACTGAGCAAAAGGAAAACCTGGGCTGAACATCAGAAAACTAATCTAAAAGACAAGATCTTATTAGATGGTAGAATCATCACCCAAGTAAAATGATGAACTGTCAGAACTTGAGACATTTATCAGTAAAATGGATTATATAAGACCTGGGCTGGTAGAAGCAGTGCAAATGGTCAAAAAGACCTTTTAGCTATAAATTAATGTTACCCAGTTATAAATATGAAAATGGTCCTATTTTTGTATAATTTAAATTATTGTATTATGGTGTCTTTAATGATAGACCTTGTGAGTTTAAATGTTTCGTTTAACATATAAAATACAATTTATATTTTTAGGTGGAAGAATATCGGAGGCTGAAGTAAGACAAAAACAACAAATCAACCTCATGCAATCTAAATATCAGCAAAAGGTCAGGAAGAATGAATCTGATTTCAGTGTAATTCAGGAAAGACTGTTTCTTGTCACTGTTTCATTATGACTATAAAATGAATTCTCAGCTGTGTGACAAAAGAAAGGCATGAAACTTGAGAAGGGAGTCAAATGAAAGCTTGAAAACATAGAAAATGAGGAGTCTAGCCATAAATATGTAGTAAATCATATTGCAGATCATTTATAAGATGGTAACCAGGATAGTAATAATGCCATGTATATTGCACTCTTCTATATTTTTCAACATGCTGCATAAACATTAACGAACCGATCAATGTAACAACTGACTTTGAGGGATCAAGGTGTTATTCCCACTATAAAATATATAGACCTTTGTAAACTGTCATTCAACAGTATAGATTCTTGGGTAACTTACTGTTAGTTAACGGTAGAGCTATTATATAGTCCATGGCACTGTTGTCTAATTACAGCAAGATGCATGCAGTCAGTTTTTGTTTTTCTTTGTAATTTTCATCAGGACCAGGACTTAGGGCTGAAAGACATACATTATCAAAAAACAAGCTGTAATGCCATCTCTGTCAATGTTTTAATTCTATATAGCTTAAGAGAGAAGAATATGCACGAATCAAGAGAGAAGCTGAAGAAGCTGAAATCCAGAAAAAGAAAGCAATTCAAAGAGAAAAGGTAAGACTTTTGAATAACCAGAATAATTCCTTGGAACAGCAGTGCTTTACCTCAGTTAGTCCTATGGGAAAGATCCATGGCATTGCTCATACTTTTATACCAGATAAGATGAAAAACTGTATCTTCAAGTTTCAAATATGCTGTCAGATGAAATGTGGACTGACATTTGATGTTCTCATTTGCTTGCAAGCTTGCTATGTTTGTGGAAGGTAAGTAGATTGTGCTGGGTAGAGTGTTGTTGTCATGACTCTGATGTCATAACAAACTCAAACTTGCCTATTGATGAAAATCTGCAAATTTCCCAAGGTACAGCATTAAATTTTGGAACCTTACAGGTCAGCATCTTAAAATCTCAAAATGTTGGAATTGTCACTACAAGACAAATGAAGGACTACATGCGAAAACAGTTCATAGATTCATAGAACCATAGGCCATGTGTAGATGAAATGAGGGGCCCGTGTGCAAGACACTTTAAATTGGGCTTTTCCACCACTTTAATAGTCTCGGTGTTTGCATGCCTCAGCGGCATATTGAGCATTAATTCCAGCCACTGTAGGAAATTTGGTGGCATAATGTGCCTTAAATGACTTGGGGTGCAGCAAACTAAAACTTCTCTGAGGAGTTTTAGTTTGCTGCCTCTACAGCTGCAGAGTGAAGCACTGGGCTCCGTGCAGCTCCACGGCTCTGCAGGAAGCCCTGCAGGCAGCCTGGAAGGCAGGCTCTGCCCAAGAAAAGTGACAAGCCTGATCTCACCCCCACCACCCCCAACCCCGGAGCCTGCCTGCCTGCCTGAGCTGAGCAGGAGCCCGGTGCTTTCCTCTGTGGCTGCGGTGCCCCCCTGGGACCACCCAAGCTGGGTGCCTGTGGGTGGGTGCCACCTTGGGGGGGCGTTCACCACTGCTCCAGAGGGAAGCATCAGCCCCCCGCCCCTGCAGCCCAGGGACTGCTCCACTACAGAGAGGCAGGTAAGTAGGGTGTGTGCATAACACAGGGATTTAATTGGCTCTAAATTGCAGCAGCTTTTTAAAAAAAACACCGCTTCAATTTAGGCCCCCCATTTTATCTACATATGCCCATAGACATTAGGGGCTGGAAGGGACCTCACAAGTTGTCAAGAATCAAGGCCTGATTAAAGACCCTATAGATCAACCACCTGATTCCGTCATGGCATTTTATGTATGGATCACAACTAACACCACCACAACCTTGTTTAGGTGTTGTGAATACTAGCAACACAAATGATAAATGAAAGAGGGCCCCAGTATGCAAAAATAAAAAAGATACCCAAACAATGGGACGTCTACTGAACTGCTGCACTTCAGGATTCTTTTCTATGTGTCTTGATTACTTCTTTGTCAAAGGAAGTCATAAAGTGAAGTCCCAGAGTCAAAGAGAAACATAGGAATTGACCATTAGTGTTGCTTTTTAAGCTGCCATACAAAAGAAAAACGTGATTGGCTCCAACTTCTTTATTACTTGAGATGCAAACCTATATTGAAAATAACCTTCCATGTAAGGTGTGTAGAGTTGGAACCACTGTAGTTTATATATCTGTACATAGACATGGGGGGAAATGCTAAAAATAATACCAAGGTTGCAACTTAAAGCACTTCATTTTAACAAGTGCTGGAAGGTTGCTAATGCAATTTTAATTTGGCCCCTTTATGCATATTAGCTACTACTATATTTAACTACAAGTAAGGATGATGTTTTTCTCCATAGGGCCCCCACCCCATTCAGTGCACAAAATGTCCAGAGCTTGCTTAATGAGCATGTTGTTATCAATATGTGGAATGTGTGACCCTATGCCATATTTACTGCATGCTTGTCAAATTTTGTTCTGGAACACAACCATTAACTTCCTCATTAGCTTTTATTATTCCAGTTTCTGAGTTTCACAGATATTAATGAATCTATTTTCATACCACCCCTGTGAATTGAAGGGGTATAATTCTCCATTTTACAAACATTAAGTAATACTTAGAAACCACCTGTCAACAAGATTTTAGTTTAAGACATTGTCTTGCATCACTTAGGCATGCAGAAGCAGGGATAGAATCCAGTTTTCCAGGACAGTGTCCAACTCTCCAACACCTGAAACTATGCTTTCGTCTTGCCTCCCAGCCTCATTCATTTAACACTTCTCAACTTTGCAAAAAATAACATGTTGGTCATGCAGACAGTAGCCCCTTCAACTACATGACCCAGGTTCATCAAGACAGCAGGGTGGGAAAATGCTGAGATTGTGTAAGTATACTCCTTGAATTGCAATCTCATAATTCTCTGTTGCTTTTCTCTGAATTCCTTCTTTATTGTGTTATATAGAGGTACTGAAGACTCTACACCTCTTGTATGTCTCTATTATAATACAATATGGTTATACAGGCAATTCTTATTCTGGCACACTAACTTCTGAGTGCTTAACTTTACAACCTATTTTTTTGTGCAACTTGCTAGATTTTTAAAAAAGCAAACCTAGTACAAAGTTCATCATATAGCAATATAGTGATATCCCCAATACACTCAGTGATGATGGAATCATTAAAGCAAGTTAGAGGTTAAATTGCAGGAAGTTTCTAATTAATATATGCAAGCAAAAAAATTGCAAATGCTTATCATTTGGAATTTTTGGAGTGGATTTTTTTCAGAGAACACAAAAATGAACATTTCTGACAAAAAGCTACCCTCTGCAAAATGTAAAGTTTCTGCTACAGAGTGGGGCAGTAAGACTTTTCAAATAATAGATTGCTAAAAGTTAAAGATTGAGGCTTTGTGTTGGTGGGAGAGCTGGGGAACATTTTGAATCTGCTGTGCCATTTGGGCTGAAATTAAAAATGACCCCACACTTCCACCCTCCCAATTTAACCTTAGCTTCTGGTAGATATCTAGGTATCTAGCCTGGAAAATTTTGGCTAATTTTCCTGTTGCATCTGTGGTACTTCACTTAGATCCTTCTTTGGCCCTGGTGTGGAAGAAAGGCTGTAGCTTTCTCACTTGCCCATAACCTGTACATAGACTGAAACATTTGCTACCACCTGCTTTTTTCAAATGACTAAGTACTAAGGGAATTAAGAGATGAAATGACAACATTCAAATTATACTACAAATCAGGAGCTATTGGCTACTTATAAAAGATAAAACAGAACTGATGTTATTGCGTATGAAAAGTCTGGCTTGGAAATAGCAAATCCTCCTTTCAACCTACCTCTGTTTTCCTTCAATCATGAATAATTGGATTGTATACCTTGTTATATGGTAACAAGCTCTTGGTTTGCAGATCTTCAAAGTAGTTGTCCAGAACTTCTGCTGCATTTTTAGGATCCTAAGAACTTGCTTGCTGTGGAGGCTCCTGTGACTTGATCATCAAATAACATCTCTCCTAGCCACAACTGCTAGATTGTAAAGTGGTCATGTTACTATCATGCCCCTATACTATGAACCACAATGAGGACAGCTAAAGCTGCTCACCCTGGCTATACATAGCCTCTTGTTGCTGCTTTGTCTCACCTCCAACATCTAAAATGGTCATAGAGAGTGGATAGAATCAAGCCTCAGGCCTTTATAGCAGAGGCTCCCAAACTTTTTCTTATCATATACCCCTTCAATCTTATTTTAATCCCTTAAATGCCAATTATTATTATAATGAAAATTAAATTGGCTATTACATAATTTCTCCTGCATAACCCCCAAAGATGTCTTGCATACCTCCAGAGGTACATATACCACAATTTGGAAATCCCTGCTCTTGACTATATACTCAGTCTATCAGCTATTTCCTGAAACAGCTGTCAAACATACAGCTCATGGACCAAATCCATCCCATGTAGGTGGGTCATGTGGCCCTCAAGACTTTTTGTTGTGGCTGCCAGTAGCCAAGGAGAAGGTGTCATTATGGCTGCTGAAGTTGCAATGTAAGTGTAAACAGCACCCAGGAAACACTGCCACAGAATTCAGTGTTTTTTGATCAATGCTAGTAACTGAAATTGTGGCATTTTCCCTCTAGGTGCTGGATATCCTGACACTGGGTGCATCTACACATGCATTTACTTTGGAATAAGGGTTTTTGGGCAGGGATCTATACATGCAGGGATTAAGAAGCAGATTTACACCGTTCCCTGCAGCCCTGCAATGGGCACCTACCAACACTGGGGGGAGCTCCAGGCTCCCCCTGGGTGCTAGCTCCAGGCTCCCCCTGGGGGGCTGTCTCCTGCTGGGGCGGGGACAATGTCTCCCAGCCTGAGCCCTATAACTGTAGGGCTTAGTCTGGGAGATAAGGCTCTCCCAGCCTCGGCTCCTCAATTGCAATCCAGGAGCAGGGGGCTTGGAGCTCCTTTCTGCCCGGGCTGGGGAACATAGTCCCCACCCGGGATCCTTTGGTGAAGTCCTCCCTGGCAGCAGGCAGCTCCCAGGGGCAGGGAGCTATCTCCTGCTCCCTGGTGGGTGGCTGACTGGGAGCAGATTTTGCTTCTGGTCAGGCATCTACACGAGTGCTACAGTACTGTTACTAATCCCCAAGTAAATTTGCTACTTACATTTTAAGGTAGCAAATTAACTCAGGATTAGGGAGGTTTAACTGCGAAGTAAGTATGTGCATGTGTAGATGCACGTGCTTACTTCACAGTAAACTATGTTAGTGCGAAGTTGTGTCTCATGTAGGTGTGCCCACTGTGGCTCCAGCAACTGTGGCAACGGAGCTTGAGTAACTCTTTGGCTGTCAGCACTGATGCAGAGGTCCTGGCAGTCTTGGGGAAAAGTGCTGTGGGCCAGATTTGGAGGTCGGTTGTCTGGCCTGCGAAAAGTCCCGTAATCTGAATCCAGCTTGCCAACTCTTTTGAATTTGCCGCTCCTGTCCTAAAAGAATGAAGTCACCCTAAAACTTTGGATGCTACAGACTCCTTTGTCTTTTAATATAAGCATGTTACAGTTTCAGAGATTAATACTTGATTAGGACAGCCTCTGTATGAGGTCTGCCAAAAAGGGTAATACTGTACCTTCTCTTT